TCTGGTTTATCAGATATGAATATAGCTACTCCTTCTTGTCTTCGGGTTGTGATTGCATGGAATACAGTATTATTTTCTGTCCTTTCAATTTCAGTCTGTGTATGGCTTTGCTTAAATTCACTTGTTTAAAATAGTGTGTCGTCTTCAAATAAAGCCAGCTTTTAATTTATTTTTCCTGTCTAACTTTGCAGATGAAGTGGTGAAAGCACGCATTCTTTTCTTGTCCCTGTTTTAAGGGGAAAGCATTCAGCCTTTACTCATTAAGCACAATGTTAGCTTGTGCATTGCTTTTATCAGGTAGAGAATTTTCTTTTTAATTCTCAGCTTGAGTGTATTTTTGAAGGGATTTGGATTTTGTCATCTCTGACTATTGAGACCATCGCACATTTCTGCTTTTAATCAATTCATGTGACTTTGATGTCCAAAAATCAGGTGCTTTTGGGCATTAAACCTTGTGTTCCGTTAAATCCTCAACACCCATTTAGTGATGAAATCTAATCCTTTCCCTGTTACTGGATTTGGCTTGCTAGTTCATGGTTGAGGATTTCTATGCTTGCGTTTGTAAAGATTATTGGTCTGCAATTTTCCTTATTAAGTGATATCTTTGGTTTTGGTTCCAAGCTAAAACAGTGGTACACTGGTTCACGAACTTACATCATTCCATGATACTTCGGAAACAGCCACTTGCGTGTTGATGCAAATAGATGACCGCAGCCATGTTCCTCACCCAATGCAGTTTGCAAACAAAAACAAAATTTTGCCAAACACTTCTGTTTGCGTTCATGAACCGAGGCACCTGAAAGTTTAAATTTGGGAATAGTTTTTCCTTCTTTTCTAGATTTTGGAACAGTTTGGAAAAGATTAGTATGATGTCTTCCTGAAACATTTGATACAATCCACCAGGGAAATCTTCGGTGTTTGACGTTTTTCAGGAAATACTTTAACTTTGACATTCTATTCCATCAATAGTTATAGGTATATTTGAGTAACATGTTTTTTCTTGAATAAGGTTTTATAGTTTGTATCTTTCAGGGATTTGTCTATTCCATGTAATTTGTTAAATTTATTGGTGTACTTTGTTCATATTTTTTCATGTTTTGTTATATGCGGACTCTAGTGATGTTCCCTTTTTTCCCTAACATTGGTTATTTGTGTCTTTTATACCTTTTTTCCTCATCAGTCTACCAATTTTACTGTCCTTCTCCTAGACATTTTTATTTTCATTGATTTTTCTGTATACTTTTGATATTTTCCATTTGATACTGCTTTTATTTTTATTTCCTTTTTTTCAACTTTGGATTTAATATGTTCTTCCATTTAAGAGATTTTTAAAGGTAAAGGCAAAGTTATTGATTTAAGGACTTTTTTCTGTCAAATATAAGCATTTAGTACTACAAATTTTCCTATGATTACTGCTTTGGTGAAATCACATGACTTCTATTGTTGGGTGTTCTCATTTTCCATTTTTAAATGTGATATTACAGCTTATTTTGATTTACACTTTGTTCCATAAGTTATTTGAGTGTATTATTTAGTTTTCAAATATTTAGGAATTTTCCAGATGTATATTCTTTATTTATTATATATTTAATTCTATTGTGGTAAGAGAGCAACCTGCATGATTCAATTATTTCTAAATTTATTGAGACTTGATTTGTAACCCAGATATTCTCTATCTTGATAAATACCTCATATGCACTTGAAGCGAATGTGGACTCTGACGTTACTGAGATTATGTGGTAATTGTTAATTAGGTCAATTTAATTAAAAGTACAGTTCAAAGTTGCTACGTCTTTACAGATTTTCTGTCTACTCAATTTTTCACTCAGTGTGAGACATTTATAGCTAAACGGATGCACACTGAGGCCATACTCTCAAGTGAAATAAATGACACACTTGAATAAATACCAAAGTTTCTCTGGTGTGAAAAACTAAAATTGTAAATAAGGTTCAAATGGTATAACTGATAGTGTGAAATAGGAAGAAAATGGCTAAAGGGGAAGAGGATGGGGAAGGGAAAAGAAATAAGGGAAAAGAAAAAATGTGAAAAAGGAAAAACTGGAACCAAAGTCTTTGTAAATAGGGGAGAGTGAAGGGGGTGAAGGGAGGGCAGGGGTATGGGGAAAAACCAAGAACCAAGATAGGTCATGTACAGGTACAAGATCCCAATGATGAATGTAACTGTATGGTTTGCTTCAAATGGACCATTTAACTTGACGGGAAAAAGATTTGCTCAGTGAGACAAAGGTATTGAAATCGCTGTCTATGCCCGTGGACATGTAGTTACATTTGTCCCTGTAGTTGTACCATTTTCTTTCCTAATTTGATGCTCTGTAGCATTAAAAGTCAGGATATTTAGTTCCTTTGATTAACAACTTTATTATTATACGAGTAATTCTTCTTTATTCTTGATAATATTCTCTGCTCTGAAACATATTTTGGCTCATCCTAACATAGCCACTATGGTCTATGGCTAAAGCTGTTAGGACAAAAACCTGAATGGCAGATCCTCAACCTAGGGAGGTAAGTGGACTAAAATTGACCTCAAGGTATTTTCCTTAAGAAGCTAGAAGCTTTTTAAGTGTTCACAAAAAAGAATTCTGTCAGTGTCGCTCCACTAAGCTAAAGTCTGTTTCTCCAGAGGGACTCAGGATAGCGGAAGTAAATAGCAGGCTAACGGAATTAGCACTAAGATTAGATAAAAACAAGTGCCTGGTGGACAAAGGCACATGTTGAGAATAGCTTTTCATTTAGAACACAGGGCTCTGATCAAGCAAGGGTCCTTCCTGGGACCAATGGATGAAAATAAAATCAGTCTCTTGAGGAGTGTGTGTGTGTGTGTGTGTGTGTGTGCGCGTGCATGTGCAGCACAAGCCTTGTGCGTGTTCTCTGGTGGTGGGAAGGGGGAAGAAAAGCAGGGGGAGGATGTGTGACAAGAGAGGGAGGTGTGTCAGAGTGACAGGTCCTCTGGTGACAAGATGTGGCAGATCAGGACAGGCTCAGGCTTGAGTACTAAGGACAAATTTCTCCTTAACATTTCACACCATAGGCTATGAAATGGATGCCCTTCTGTGTGTGACTTCAGGCCTTGTACCTAGCTGGGGGGAGATGGTGTATGTGGGTTGGCAGCGTCCCTCCCTGGAAAAGCACATGCTGGAATTCCCTCCACACCTAACAGGTAGTGGTATTTGTTGTAGGACTGGTAGAATGTAGGCACAGCACCTGGCATAGTTGCATATTTAGTGATTAGCAGCTGTCCCTAAAATGACCTTGACTCCAGATGCTACCATGCTTTATTCTGGAAATTTCCTCTGTGCATTTCCCAGGGAAGCTGGGAATAGAGGACACTGAATAGAAAATGCTACTCAGTAAGTGTTTCCTCCATTATATGCTCTCCAATAGGCTGCATTAGTTGACTAGATGTAGGGAAGTCTTTTTCTGCTGGGAACAAAGCTCCTAGAACTTCAGGTAAGAGCACTTTCTTTCCTCCCCACCAGTTCATTTTCACTGGAACCACTATCTTCCTTCATATCACCTCCACCAAGAGTCCAGTCTTGGGCCTCACAAGATCTCTCTGACAATGAGGCCTAAAATCCTGGCCATTCTAAGACAAAGCCAGCTCAGGTAAGATTCAGTTCCTTGAGCCTTCAGGTAAAGCTTACATACCCTGACAACATCAGCATCAATTTCCTTCACAGAGGAAACAGTTGAAACCTGGCTCATGGTAAGTGAATTTATAAGGCGAAAAAGGTTCCCCTAAACCCTGAGAAGGGCCACATGGAGGGACCACCTATTGGTCAGGCAGTCATCCGGCCACTCGTGTACCTGACCTATGCCCTGTGCTAGATCCTGCTGGCCATCTGTTAAGAAAGTTCAGGCAAACTGGGCCAAAACAGGCCAATGTTAACACCCTCAAAAGTGGACTCCCAGGGAACAGGAGAGTCCAAGAAGGCTCTTTGGGGCCTTAGGTCACCTGAGAGTCTCCCTTACCTCTCAAGAAAGCTTTGCAGATGCTGGGGATAAGTCCCCTGGTTCTTGACCTGTGTAGGACCACTCTTCTCATTGCTGTCCCAGGTGAAGATTCCCCTCAGCTTCCCCCAGTATCTAAAAGTGCTGCTCAGAGCAGTCTTTCATCCTCTCAGGCTTTTATCTCAGGCCCAGGACACCTTGTCTGAGGGTCTGGCCGAGGCCACATTACAGCTGCATTAAAATCCACTCAATCAACTCATGCAAAAGAAACAAAAGTTTCACCAATCCCCAGCCTCAGCACTGACAGCAGGTTGCTCTCTGCTGGGCCCCAGCCATTCCCTGTTCTTGTACTCATTCTTTAGGTTCTTTGACAACACCTCTTCATCATCCTCACGGTGTGGATATCACTGGACTCCACCATCATGTGGCTACTGTGGATCCTGCTCAGTCTGCTTTACCCATATCACTGGCACAGACACAGGGCCTTCCAAAGTGCACATGTGCGGTGAAGGTTTGGGAGTCCATGAGACAGTGAGCAGCTGGGCTTCTTTACTGACAGTAAATGTCTCTAATTGAACAAACCAAGCAATTTTTGGTATGTGTATTTTTTAACTGTTTACATTAACTGCAAAAATGGACAAGAAATCCAGATTTGAATTTTATGTCTTTATTTATTAACTCCATTTATTATAAAGTTCTTACACATTTAAAAGGAAATTCCCATTCCAGTGCTATGGCAACCTGTTTCATATCACAAAAAAAAAGTGAAAGGTTTCTTAGTTGGTTTTACAAAACAGCAAAGACTTATGCTTGAAAGGAAAAGCAAAACCCATGTTTGCTCAATGCCACAGAAAATCACAATTTCATAAAAAATTACAGTCAACAACCAATGTAACAATAGCAAAAATAGATGTAACATCGATACCTTACTTCAAGTAAGCTGCGCAAGCCTGTTCAATCTTCATAAAGAAAACAGATGTCAATTTCCAAGAAATCTCTGAAGAGAACAAACACCAACAAGGAAAGCCCAGTATTTTCCCCTCCTACCTATCTCTTTACTACTGAGCTAGCTTGCTGCTCTCCTGAAACAAAGACTGAAGGATGGGAGTCATTTTACATGGACAGGAGCTGAGCTAGTGACGTGGCTTCCGGACACGCCCTGTCCCTGGCCTGCACCTTGCCCCTCAGTGGCCCACACGTTGTGCATGGAGAGCCTCTTGCTGCTCTCTGAAAGCCTCCTCATAGAGACGGAGGTAGGACCACGGATCTCTCTTATTGACCTTAGCCAAATGCTCCAGGACCTCCATCTTGTTGGTTTCAGCGTGGGTCCTTGGGCCCCACAGGAACTCATAGCGAGCGGGATTGCTATTGGGCACCTGGCGATACTCTAGATACCCTTCCTCCACCAGGTCCTCAGTGATGAGTTTCCTGGGCTCCCCATAGACTGCGTGCTCCCTCCCATCAAACACCCCCATCCTGCTGAGTTCAAGCCAGATAACTTTCTCACTGGCTCGGTTGCCCTTCCTGAAGATGGTGGTGATAATCAAGATCAAGATGCTGCTTTTGGCACTGCGGTAGTCATCACCATTTCGCTCATTATAGGTGAGACCCAGGACAGGGTCAAGGGAATATATGCACCCGGGGGGATCTACTTCCTTCACATCAACGCCAAAGAGCATGTACAAGCAATCACAGACTTTTGCAAAGATCAGAGGGAAGTGCTCCCAGTGATCCTTCAGGACACAGTGAAGGATTTCTGCCCTGGTGGTCATTTCCTTAATACTATACTTTTGGAGCAGGAAATCCACCAATATATTTATCTTCTGATACAGAACCTCCAGGGGGAGGGACTGAGGACCTTCCTGGTCCCGAGAGGGGCATGGATGCTCCTCTCGTTCCCCAGCAGAGCCCTGACGGGATTGGCTCCTTTGCCTGAAGGCCATGGCAGGGAGGACAGAAGACGCCCTGAGGATTCCGAGGACAATTTGGAGTCTCAGCCCCACGCACTTCTGTGGGTGTCCTTGGGTTAAAGCAGAGCAGAAAGAGGATGGAGACGAAGCAGCGGGTGCTACTTTTACCCCTCGGGCTTCAGACCCCACACACCCACTAGACTTTGTGCCCCTCTTTGGGCCAGACGGCTTCCGTAGCTTGCTGCGGTGACTCCTCCAAGCAGGAAGATGTCCTCCCGTTCCGTGGGGACAGCAGGAGCTTGTGATGAGGACTCAGATGCCTGGAGGAGACAGGGAGAGACTGAGTGTTCTCGGCCCGGAGCAATGCTCTTGTCGGCCCCCACAAAGGCCGCTTACAGTTTTTGCTTTGAGTGGGGCTCTCGGGCCTCAAGGGCTCCTGTTCTCCCCTGGCCTTGTCCCCAAGAACCTGGGACACGAAGTAGGCTGCTCCTCCAGCTGCAGGTGAACTGCAGAGGACAGGCTCTAGGGCAGACAGTAAGGCATATGGAGCCTGGGGACCACGAGGCGTCCTTGTTCTGGGACAGGGGCCCCCAGTACACGTTCAGGGCGTGCACCTCACCCTGACTCCTGGAGCTGCCTGAGCGTCGTCTGCTGTGTGACCCCAGGACACAGCCTCACCAGAAGACCCTCTCTGCCTGGTTCCTGGAGCTCCTGCGAGAGGCACGGAGGGCCCGAAGGCTGCAGACCTCAAGCACAGTCCCGGTCTCTTCACAGGAGGGCTGGGCTGGACTCGGTGAGGTCCCCTCTGATGGTATTTTCTCTGCTGAAAGCCCCATCCCACACCTCTGCTGACCAGAGGCAAGCACTCAGGAAAAGTTGTCTCCCTCTCTGAGAGGAGACACAGGACGGTGAGGGTCTCACTCAGGGCCCAGCTGCCTGGAGTCCACAACTGCTCCATGCTAATCTGATAAGTGCTTTGTTCTAGGATGTTCTCTGGGATGACCTGGGCCCACCTTCTCTAAACCACAGCCCTATCTCTGTGAGACTCAAAGAGGAAGTGAGGGGGAGCAACCCGGAACTGAGAGAGTAGCCTCAGCCTGACAGCGGTGCCTGGGCTTCCCGGGATGACAGCGGGCTGGGGGGGGGACACGTGTGTGGAGTACCCACATCTGTGCTCTGGGCAGGGTACCCAGTCCTCCCGTGGGGTCCTCGCCTTGACCCTGCTGTCTACTGGGCAGATGGGCATCCGTGCTGACAACAGACCTGTGCCCATCTCTCCTGTGATTCAGGACCCCTGATGTGGTCTGAATCTGAATCTCCCTCAGCGTCCCATGGGGCCATCGTGAGGACCTTTGGCACACGCCTGGGTCACCGGCACTTACAGCGGATTGGCCTTTAGGAGCTGGGGCCTGGGGGAAGAGGAGGGTCACTGTGGTGTGACGGGGAGGGTTGCATCTCCCTTCCCGCCCTCGCCACTCCTGCGAGACTTGTGGTGACAGCTTTGATCCCACCAGACCCAAGCACCATGTCCTCTGCCTTGGAGCTGGCCGACCAGGACTGAAACCTCTGCAAAACGTGAGCCCAAATCAGTGCTTCCTCCTTTAGATAGCAAGTGTCAGGTATTGTGGCTCAGCGCTGAGATCCTGAGAGAGCCCCTCAGTGCTTCTGTAGTTTCATTGCCTTCCTCCTCCCTAGTCCTGGTCCCACCCGAAAGGAGCTGTTGTCTCCTCCTGAGACCAAGCCCTCATCCCTGAAGGCTCCCCGCCTTCCTGCCCAGGAGAGAAGTGAGAAGGCCACCTAGGGCCTCCCGGGGCTGACCCCAGGGGACACACAGAGTCTATGGATTCATAGGCTCTGGGCTGCAGACACACTCGGTCCTAAGGAAGGGTCCATGGCTTCGGTCTGGCAGCCCCTGGGGTCCTCTGCCTGCTGCCCATGTGCAGCTCCCCCTGCTGACCTGTGACCACCTCTTGGACCGAGGTCCTTGCCTCTCTGCGTCCTGCCGCCCCCACCCACCTAGCACAAAGGAGAGTAGGTCACATGCATCCCCCCTTCCCGGACCCCCACATTGCTAACAGGGCAGCCATGCTCTTTGGGGTCTCTTCTTTTTACGGGTGTGGGGTAATGTCAAACCTTCAGTCCTGGAAAGTGGTAGAGTGGGGATCCGCACCAATTCAGCCTTCCTGAGATTTGGAATCCAGACTCTGGAAGAAGACAAAAGAAGAAAGAGATCACTAGAAATCAGAGAAAAACTCACAGAAAAACAAAAACGTACAGAGTTGAATGTGTAGAACCAAAGGGAAACCTGGGGACTCCAGGAGGCCCCCGGGAGGAAAGCGGGGCTTCAGTGCTCTGGCGGTTGCTGTGATCTTCATGGATGGCGGTGAGCTCTGCTCCCACAGAGCCCGGCACAGACAGCAGTGGGTGAGTGACCCCTGAGCAGGTGCCTGCCACATCCCTGGAGAGAACGTGGGCTGGGGTGCCATTCCGGGAAAGCCTCGAGTATTCAAGCTGAGACTCAGAACAGCCACAGAACGGCTTGAGTTCAGCGTTTGCAGCATTACTCTCCCGCAGTGAGTGGGCGAGAGACAGTCTCAGCAAACATCCCTGGACAGGGGAGGGGGGCTGGAGAGAGGCCCCTGAGAGGTCTGATCTCAGCTGGGAAGCACATGGGGCCTATCCCTCTTGGAGGCCTGACCCGGCCTGAGTTGCTCTGTACTTGAAACTTTCAGCCCTGGATATTCAAGCCTTTGCCCTTCTGCCTGCATCCAGCATACATCTGGGTCTGGCTGCCTTCCTTCTCTACCAGGATGAGCAGAGACTCACCTTGCCTTGGACACTGTCACAGCCTGGGAAAAGCAGAGGGTCCTGGCTCTGAGAAAACTGAGAACTGCTAGACTCCAAAATTTAGCATCCTGGAAGGAAATGATTCATTCATATTTCCAGATCATTTTGGCCTTGTTCTCTTTTTTCTTTTACATCTTTCCCTACTTTCGCCTTTTAATTTTTCCCTTTATTATTTTTATTCTCTATACAATTTCTTTTCACTTCTTCCCTTTTTTCTGTTGACTCTTATTTCTTGGCCGTTTTTATTGTTACCATTATCTAATGCTATAAACATCCTTCTAGTGTGTTACAGGATCTTTAGGTCCACTTTCCTCTCCTCATTCTCACATCCTCTGGATGAAGACTTCAAGTTTTAATTATTGCATTCTCCCTTTCCCAGCTCCTTATCTTCAATAGTATAACAATTAAGCTTTATTAATCTGTAGAGAGTCAACTATAAATTTATTGTCAATTCATTTTCTAGCAGTAGAGGAGCTATAGGTGATGCATTTAGTACAGAAAAGGTGTATGTAATATGTGGGTTGTCTTAACATGTATACTGTAATTGTGGATTTCTATTATGTGGTTAAAGGTGCCATCTAATTGCTTCTCCTTTTATGTAAATATCTAATTTATCTTGGACAATACCACTGTAGCTGATTGGCTTGATGTTTCCAGGGTCGCAGTTATTGGCATGGATGGGATCTCTGTGTTCCAATACCCAGATTCCCTTTGTGAAATTAGCAATATTGGGGCCCATGTCCAGAGAACTAGGTGTTGGGCCAAGTATACTGCATCTTCCTCTCCCTAATTAAGGGAAGTGGTCACACTTAGGGGAGAGGTAAAGGACTATAGTCAGCTATGCCCAAAGTGCATCCCTGAAAAGCCGACTAACTAAACAGATCTCTGTACTAGCAACAAGGACTCTGAACTAGAAGCACCACAAATTTCTGCACAAAACAAACAAACATAAAACAATAGAAACATGAGATGACAAGTGACAAAATGATGCCCAGACTCCCACCTCCCCCAAAGGCAATCCAGGGGGCATTACTGGGGAGAACAGCAAAGCCACACACCTGAAACTACAAAGGATACCACGGGAGGTTAGAAATCAGGTCAGAGAGATGCTTTACAGGATCACAGATGATATAACTAAAGAGATAAACAAAATGATCCAGGAACTTTCAGAAGTCACTAATAAAATGCTACCCAAGTTAAAGAAAATGATATAAAACAGGAATGACCAGTTTAGCAAAGAAATAGAGTCCACGTAAAGGTTGCAATCACAAATCCAGATTATAAATTACACTGGACATCTGGGGGATAGAAGCAACCGATATGAAGACAGAATGTTAGAATTAGAGGTAGGGATGCTTTTAAAGACCACCAACTCAAAGACACTTTAGAAGAAACCAGATCACATAAAATACTGATGCATTAGCTGCTAGGTGATGCAAAAATACTAATCTAAGAGTAGAAATTGGATAATTGAAAAGTAAAAAAAATCAGAGCAAATATCTTGCAAAAAATCATAAAATCTCTCAAATAAGGATAAGACATAAACATACAGAAAAGTGTGGTATATTGAACTCCAAATACCTACAACCAAAAGAGAACCTCTCCAAATGAAATCACTCTCAAAACACCAGAAGTCCAATAGAGGGACAAAATCTTAAAAGCAGAGAAAAGTAGTGAATTACCTATACAGGTAAATCCACTGGAACAACTACAGACTTCTCAACATAAAAATGAAGGGCCAGGAGCACTTGGAATGAAGTGTTTGATGGCTAAAGCATAACAACTTCCAATTCCAATTTATACACATTGCAAAACATTCCTTCAAAATTGGAGTAATATGTTACTTCCAAGAAAAGGAGCGCCTGAAGAAATTCATGACCATTAAACCAACATTACAAAAAATTCTCCAAGATACTCAACAAAGAGACAATGAATCCATTCAATACCAATTAGTCAAATCGAATGATTACTCCTGGCAGGATGAGCAAGTAAAAGAAAGAAAAAAAAAGCCAAAGTATAAGGAAATCAGCAACAGGAAACTAATGAAATGACGGGAAGATTTCAATTCCTTTCAGTAATAACTCTCAATGGGAACAGTTTCAATTCCCTAATCAAAAGACAAAATTTGGCAGAATGTATCAAGAAAGAAGACCCACTAATTTGCAGTAAAAATGAAACACATGTAATTCAAAATGAAATTCACAGATTAGAAATAAAAGGATGGAAAACAGCATTCTGTGCAATGGGAACCTGAAAAAAAGCAGCAGTAGCTATCATAATTTTAGTAAAGGTGGATTTCAAACAAAACTGATCAGATGAGACAAAAAGGGCCAACACATACCGGTGAAATGAGCAATTCAAGAGGGTGAGATAAGGAGTATAAAAATGTATACACCAAAAACTGGTGTACTCAATTTCATGAAACAAGCAGTAGAAGATATAAATAGATAAACACCAAGATAATAATCTGGGACCTCAATACCCCACAGTCACAAATTAGATTAACTACACCAAAAATTCCACAAAAATATTAGAGTTGACCCAAACCTTCAAACACATGGAGTTAATAGATAACTGTAGAGTGTCACACCACCAAAAACAGAATACACATTGATCTCGATATCACATGGGACTCTATCCAATACATATGATGTGCTAGTACATAAAGCATGCTTAAATAAATGCAAGAGAATCAAAATTATTCTGTGCATTATCAGATCTTAGTATAATGAAACTAGAAATCAATGGAAAAGGAAACTACAGAAAGTTTGCAAGCATACAGAAGTTAAACAGTATCATTTAAATAACCAGTGGGTCACTCAAGAAATCAAGCAAGAAGTTAGACAGTTTGTAGAATCAGACAATAATGCCAGTACAACATACTGGACCACTTGGGACACAATGAAAGCAGTTTGAAGAGGGAAGTTTAAAGTGATGAATGCCCACATCAGAATAACAGAGCAAGCACAAATAAATAACCTAATGATACCCGTCCAAATGCAAAGCTAGTATGGGGAAGGAAATTATGAAGATCATAGTAGAAATTAATGAGGTTGAGACTGGAAAATAAAAAGAATCAATGACTCAAAGAGTTGGTGCTTTGAAAGAATAATCAAAGTTGACAAAACTCCAACCAATCTTACCGAAAAAGCAAAGACAATACCCAATTCTGTGCAATTATAAATGGAAAAGGAGAACTCACAATGGATTCTGCTGAAATCCTGAAGATCATTGGTAAATACCATGACAGTCTGTCCTCTCCTAAAACTGAAAATTCAAAAGCAGTGTGTATATTTCTAGACATGTGAACTACAAAAGATGAACCAAGGCGATATAAACAACATTCTGAATAATATCAT